CCTGCCACAGGCCTGTTCACCCATGGCGGAGCAGAGATCCTGTCCCTCCTCTGGCTGTGGGGCAAGGAGGAGACATTCCAGGGTCTCCGCTCCAAGCACTGGAATGCGAACATTTATGTCCAGATGACCAAGTCCCTGGCGGAGCACGGACACCCACCCCCCTGGACCTTGGAACAGGTCCAGGGTAAGGTCAAAGAGCTCCGCCAGGGATACATGAAGGCCAGAGAATGCAGCTCGCGCAGCAGGGCAGGGACCCCACACCTGCCCCTACTACCAGGAGCTGCACCAAATCCTGGGGTGTGGGGAAGCCATTACACCACCTGTCGTGGACTCTGGCCTCAACATGCCCGTCATCGCCCAGCTGGAGGTCACGGCAGAGGAGGACCAGAGACAGCAGGAGGCGGATGACACAGCCACCGTCAAGCTCTCCTTGGAGCCAGTTCCTGAGAGCCTGGATGTCTCCCAGGCCTCCTCTGACACTGGGGAAGGATCTTCAGGTGAGTGCTCTCCGTTTGTCACACACACAGGGCAGGGGAGGCGGGTGCAGAGAGGGAGGGGTGCAAGCATCACTCAGCTTGCTCGGGCTGCACATTCTGCTGCAGTCCGTGCATGTGGAACCACGTGCAATGTTAGTGTGCGCCACGTAGACTCAGCAGGCAGCCCCTGAGCATGCGAGGCTTCCAAGCTCAGGGGAGGCCACACACACATGTGGCCCCAGAAGGGGGTGGGACACCCTCCCACCATCTGCCACGACTGGAAGCAGGCTAGGCCATGGGCCGGGGTGGGAGGAAGTGGGCAGCATGGTCCTCTGGGCACCTTGGGGCCCCTGTGAGGCAAGGCCTTGCTCCTGGGACATACCCCTCCTCTGGCCCGAGGACTGTTGGTCACTGCTCCCAGAGGAGGACATGGACTCAGCGACAGTGTCTGCATGGATGACTGACTGCCTCTCCCTCTTCGTGTTCTCCATAGCCAGACCAGTTGGGACTGAAGGGCGAGCCATACCAACCGAGCCAGCCGCCAGAATGGGCTTGCCTGCTTGTCCATGGGCCGGGGTGGGAGGAAGTGGGCAGCATGGTCCTCTGGGCACCTTGGGGCCCCTGTGAGGCAAGGCCTTGCTCCTGGGACATACCCCTCCTCTGGCCCGAGGACTGTTGGTCACTGCTCCCAGAGGAGGACATGGACTCAGCGACAGTGTCTGCATGGATGACTGACTGCCTCTCCCTCTTCGTGTTCTCCATAGCCAGACCAGTTGGGACTGAAGGGCGAGCCATACCAACCGAGCCAGCCGCCAGAATGGGGGGGACCCAAAAGCGTGCCAGGGTCCATGAAGACCTGATACGGCAGCGTGTTAGTGTCCTGCACGACATGCAGCAGATCCTGGCAGAGAAGATCCGGGAAGACTCAGAGTGACGGAACCGCGCATGAGACCAGCTCATGCAGCGGTGCGATAGCATGTGTGCTATCACGAGGGAAATGATGGCACACCTGCCTGCTGTCACTACTCCTGCCTACCACCCTCCTGCCCTCCCTGCTATGCCTATTCCCCCTTCCCCTGACCCCCCAAGCAATGCCCATGCCCCTTCCCCCTATCATCCCTGACCCTGCTCCAGGCCCTCCTTCTCTCCCCTCCCCCTTCCCGCTAGCCACCCCCCTGTGGTCCCAGGACCCACCCAATCCCAAGTCCTATGAGATCCCCATACCTGAGGTGGCACATCCAGCTGCCCCCCACACCACTCCAATCTCCCCTCCCCCTCCAGGTTATGAGCCCTCCTCTGTCTCCCCCTTTTTTTTTTGTTAAAGACAAATACAAAGTTTGTTTTGGTCAAAACAAAACTGTTGTCTTTATTGAGAGGTCAGGGAAGAGGTGAAGGGAGGGGTTGTGGTGGGGAAGGGATAGGGCAGCAAGCCAGAGGCCCCTATGGGGAGGCTCTGGGAAGAGTTACTGTGGTCCTTGAAAGAAATTCTTCATCAGGGCCTCCCAGATGTGCACCCCGACCTGATGGGCCTGGCGGATGGCAGCTGTCCGCAGCTGCCCAATGGCTCTACCCCCTTCCTCTCTACAATGTTGTGGAGGACACAACATGCCAACACCACCTCGGGAATGTTGTGCTCCCCCACGTCCAGGCAGGTCAGGAGGCAGACAAAGGCACACTCCACCTGAATCCTGTCCCAGTTCAGGTGGACATTAAATTGCTCCCTGCTGGAGTCCAGGTGGCCGGTATAAGGCTTCATTAGACACACAATCAGTGGGTAGGCTGCATCCCCCATGATGCACGATGGCATCTGCATGTCCTCAACTGCAAAGTCCCAGCTAGGGAAGAATGTTCCTGCCTCCAGCTTCCCATAGAGGCTGGAGTTCCGAAAAATCTAGGCATCGTGCCCTGCCCGACCACCCGACAAAAATGTCCATGAATTGTCCATGGTGGTCAACCAGGGCCTGCAGCACCATAAAAAAGTTGCAGTTGATGTACTGGGCTGCTCTATCCTGAAGTGCACGCATCGGGATGTGGGTCCCGTCAGTCACTCCCCCACAGTTTGGGAACCCCAGGGCATCAAATCCAGCCATGATGGGGTCCAGGTCTCCCAGGCGGATGACCCTCCACAGCAGGATGGAGGTGATGGCCCTCACAACCTGCATAAGGAGACAAACAAGCACACAAAACAGAGAATGAGAGAGGGGGTGCATAAGAACTAACTTTTCCTTATTCACTTTTTCCACAGCAGTCATGATTTTATAGACCTCTATCATATCCTCCCTTAGTCTCCTCTTTTCTAAAATGAAGAATCCCAGTCTTTAATCTCTCTTCATATGGCAACTGTTCCAAACCCCTAATAATTTTTGTCGCCCTTTTCTGAACTTTTTCCAGTGGTAAAATATCTTTTTTGAGATGAGGCAGCCACATCTGTACACAGCATTCAAGATGGATTTATACAGAGGCAAGAGTAGAGAGATACCATGGATTTATACAGAGGCAGTAAGATATTCTCTGTCTTACTCGCTAATCCTTTTTTAATTATTCCTAACATTTGGTTTCCTTTTTTGATTGCTCCTGCACATTGAGTGGATGTTTTCAGAAAATTATCCACAATGACTCAAAAATCCCTCTCTTGAGTGGCAATAGCTAATTTAGTCCGCATTATTTTGTAAGATTTAAGGACTCAGTCTCCTTTGCTCTCACCTTTCTCCTGTATCATTGAACAAACTTCAAAAAGATAATTACTACAAAGATGAAAGCTAGCAACATGCAAGTGTTTGTTTCACATGGCATAGCAAAGTATGTTTCCTTTGCCTATCTAATTCCAATATAAAAGGTAAAAAGTTAAGCAAAAAGTGCCACCTAATGGAGACATGGGGTAACAGGCTACTGCCATTCATGGGACCATATCGGTCTTAGGGTACTGAATAAACAGCAAAATAGCTAAAATACTTAGACAAAAATTAAGCTTTAGATATTATGTGTCAATGCATTTTGGCAGTCTTTGTTCCTTACATTACTCAGTAATTAGTATTTTGTATATAAGCTGGTCAAACATTATTTATTGAATAACTTTTCAACAAATCCTTGCAACAGTAGTTGAATGTATTACTAGGAACTGATTGTTCATTATGTGACCATCTGCAATTACAGCTTATTTCTGTGTCAGTGAACTGGCCAAAGGGGTAGACATATTTAGAAAGGGAAAATAAATTTTTGCCATTTGATTGAATGCTAAATGTTTCTTCTCTTTCAGGAGGTATGCAAAGAGCTCAATTTTTCGGATTGGCCAACGTAGAGAGAAACTTGTGCCAATAGAACTTCCCAAGAGAGATCTTCATGAGCAGTTTTACTAGACTTGAGAAGGTTATTTATCCAAGACAGCTTCTCAAGAGAACTAATGCTCAAAAATGTCCTGAAACACTGACACTACTACACAACACTTTGTATCTTATTATGTACAAGATAGTCTATACTCCATTCTTTACTAGCTTTGTATTGCCACTGAAAGAAAAACATTTAAAATTTTTGTAGTTTAAAGTTTATTAGAATGAATTAAAATAGGTAAAGCCAACATTCCTCATCACCTCTACATTAACCCACCTCTGAAATATGGAAGGTTACTGGGCATTGAAATAAAACAGTTACAATATTTAACACAGGGACAACCATACTCCTAACTTCTTCATGTGGGGACCCTCAGGGAGATGGAAAGAAATCAATAGCTCCTCTATCCTAGGAGTTATCCTAAGACAGGAAGAATCAGAGTTGACTTGAAGATCACTTTGTGTCACAATACAGTTCACAATAGACTGGGAGCCTCTAATAGAGAAAAGGAAGAATCTGTGCAGTGCAGTTATTGATTAGCAGCTTTATTATTCCCATCTGATCATGCTGTAGGTCTACATGACTCTCTCAGCACTCTTGACCCAGCAAGCAGAAGGTCTTGTGTGAAACTTGGATTGGATTCCACTGTCTACTTCAGTTATTCCAGAGTCCTGGTCAGGAACGTGAAAGTGATCTTTCTTGGACAATCATCACTTGCCCTACACTATGCACTAGCTAGTTCACAATTGCTTTGCTGAGCAATAAGCTTGATTAACTTTTAAAACAGCAGCAATAACAATTAAAGCTATGTTGTTGAACTTCTAGATTAGGGAATCTACGTGGCAGATAAGTACTAAGGAGAATGGGGAAAAAGAAACTCAGACACAAATTACCATTTTTCAGTGCTCTCTTACATGCTGAGACACACAGAACTTGAATCTATATTCAGTATGACCATAATTAGCTCATTGTGCTGCTTAGAAATGTCAAGCTATAACTGTCACCAAATACAGCCTCTAATACCTAACACAAGTATACGGAGTGGCTATGGTGGTCACATTTCACAAATCAATTGGAGGAGCTTCCATTCTCTTTGGGCATGTCTACACAGCAGGGCTAAACCTGAAATAAGCTATGCAACTTGAGCTATGTCAATTGTGTAGCTTAATTCAAAATAGCTTATTTCAGCTTTTGGTGCTTTCTACACAGCAAGAAGTCCAAGAAAGAGCATTCTTCCTTCAACTTCCCTTACTCCTCATAAAATGAGGGTTACAGGAGTCGGAGTAAGAAGTCCTCTCGACATTATTTTGACATTACGTAGAAATAATTGCTTGCTGGGTAGACATGGACTGTTATTTCTGAATAATGACAGTTATTCCAAAATAACAACTTAACCTTTGCCTAGAAGTTCATTAATGTTCTGGTAGAGCAAACTACCAGAAAACAAGTAAGTGACTCAAACAGATGGTATCAAGTTGTTATTTTAGGGAAATCCTGATGGTTCACCACAAGTCCGCAGTGGAGTCTCTTCTCGTTATAACCAGGATTTAGTCAAAGAATCAGAAGTGATACCTTCAGTTGATATTTGCCTGCAACTTCTTGGCAAGAAATATGATGCTGCTTTAATTACTCTCATCTCATTGAAAAACCAGATTTCTTTTGTACAAGAGAAACTGTAATTTTCCACCCCATCTGGCTAAGCTATGGGCTTATTCAGGATATAGCTTCTCAAGCAATTAAGCTTTCCATCAAAGATTGAAGAAGTGCATCATCTACTAAACCATTAACCACTAAGTTTGAATACCAGAGAAAAGCTAGAGAAAAGTCTTAGATACACATTTCTAGCAGCTGTTAGGAATTTAGCTACCTCAGGATGTGAGCCTACTGATCACAGTTTTACCTTATCCTGCATGCTATGGAAGGCTACAGCTTGATCTCCCAGAGAATTCACTTCAAAGCTCTATCCAACCTTTTTATACAGAAAATAGCAGATGTACTCTATCCCCCTGCCAATGCAGGACTTTTAATACCATGATATTTTCCTTGTTTTAAAGAATGCAAACCCTGGAGCTTCCACCAAATCCCTTAGATCAGTGCTCCAGGGACTGGTAAGGTCTCATAGTTGGCCTTTTTTCATGACACTGGTAGTGTTAATACATTACCATGAATGTCAATTTTGGACTGATTTCTGATCAATCAAATGAAGAACATTTGCTATTCCCCTTTCTGATGAGAGTGATAGTCACTGTTGGAAACACTGAAATACTGCTGTGCACACTAAGTGGGGCAAAACCCCAGTGCAGGTAAGTGCAGCAGCGGGAACCCAGCCCTTCTACTGAACACAACAGCAGCTTCCACTAACTCCCCTTCTCCCTCTAAAAGCACTCCATTACCAGAAGGAGGAGTTAATAGGAGAGAGAATCCTCACCTGCAGGTTAGAGCTAGGAGGCAGCTGCCATTGTTTAGAAGGGAGGAATTGGAGTGGCTGAGTTGGCAATGAGAAGCCAAGGAGTGAGGAGAGCCAGAGAAGAGTGGAATCCAGGAGAGTAAGATTTATGCACTCATATACATTTTATATGCATTTAAGTTTGAATTGTCAACTTGCAATTGTTACGTACACTTTGAAGGTGGCAAAGGAGTGTGCAAAAGCCAGAAAGCAGACCACGACCCACAATTTCTTCACCTTTTAGACGTCTCAGGAAATTTTGGATTCAGACTCATGATTTTCAAACTCTTCAGGCTACATCTACATTACAGCCAGCTCTGAGATCGATCCACCAGCTGTTGATTTTGTGGGTCTAGTGAAGACCCATCAAATCAACTGCAGATCATTTTGCAGTTGATCTCTGTACTATATCCCCTCTCAGATGCCCCCGAGGAGAAAAGTAAGATAAGTGGATGGGAGATTTTTTTCCCATTGACCCCCATGTGTAGATCCTATTGTAACTTGACTGGAGGTATGCTGACTCCAGCTACATTATTCATCACTATTTACCCGCAGTTATTCACATAGCTGGAATGGTGAACCTGGTTGATTTTCTGTGGTAGTGGAGACATAGGCTTAAGGTTGGCTATAGTGTAACTTAGCCTGAATTTTCTTTCCGTTAAGGAAGTATAAGCGAGTTAGTAATTTTAAAATACTAGTGACCTTCCCTTTATTAAATTCTCCATCTTGGGACTATTGAAACAGAAAGAATATTAACATTTATAGAGTACTGTTTATGTAATTTGGTTACTTTGTGTTTCTCACCACTTGAATAATAAAAAATCTAGGCTGTTTTTTGTTTTGGTTTGGTTTTGGTTTTGTTAAATACACACCAGATAGAAAAGCAAGAGAGACAGATTCATTTTCATCTTCTCATGCAGTAGCCAACTATTATGTTAGGGCTGCAAACACTCAATGTTGAAAAAAACCCTGTGAAATTAAACAAAATCACAGAATATTCCATTTTCTCTTAGACATTAGGACAAAAGTACTTTTAGAAAACAGACAAACAAACAGAAAACAAACCTACATAGGACAGTGTTCTGTTATTTGTAGGATGTTGTCTGTTGAAGGATATTGTTGTTTGGTTTGCCACATGCAACTAGTTTTCTCATTTCTATCTTTTTGGCACTGTAGGAGCATGACTTCCCAATCAGCAGATCCCTTCATGGCTCAAGATGCAGTCGCAGGCTCTCATCACATGGAGCCCAGTGCCAAACACCAACCCAGTGCTGCTGTGGCTACTTCTTCTCATAACTCGGTCCTCCAGCCAGGTCTCTTAGGGTTCATCTACCCTGCACCCTTAGCTCGAAATAAGCTACACAATTTGAGCTACGCAAATTGTAGAACGTATTTCAAGTTAATTTTGAAATAGCTTATTTCGTAATTTGGCATTGTCTATGCAGAGGTTTACGGGGATGTCAGAATAGTGAGCCTGTTATATTTCAAATAACGGCTTGTTTCAAAGACATGGAATAGCTATTTTGGGATACCGGAAGTATCCCGAAATAGCGCCACAGTGTAGACATACCCTCATAGTCCCTCTTCATTCAGACAGGGCTGGATTAAGGTGGGGGGGGGGCGCTAAGGCTAATAGGAGGGAAGTAATCAAACATATCTACATATATTTGCATATTATTTATGTAAAATTAAGTTTATTCTATTCTGAATATACTCAATTCTTCAAGCATACTTCTAAGTAAGAAGTAGGATGAGACACATGATGCTGTCCTCTTAGGCCTCCTTCTTCCTAGATAGTAGAGTGCTCATCTGTAAGAGGGTGAACACTGCAACATTCCCCATCCTGTTCACCTCTTTCAACTTTGCCCCTCTACTCTTAGCTCTCCACATGGCACAGTGCAAAGCCAACCCCTACGGTTGCTTTCCCCAAGCTATGGATTCCACTCCACATGTCTTTTTTCACTGACTGCAGTCTGGGAGGCAGCAGCTTTTATTATGTAAAAGGAAACCACTGAAGTAGCAGAAGCATCCATGGAAAAGTTACATTGGGTGGCATCGTGTTTTAGAATGTCTTGCTCAGAAAGGTTGGCTGGCTGAGGACAATGAATTACTGTTTTCACATTGAACCCAAAGATTATTGGTGGAGAGACACTCACTTGGCATAGTTCATCTGCAGTAATTCACATCAGACCATTCTATCACCAAGATCCTCCACAATTAGAATCCTAGAATAGAATCCTAGGTTGGGAAGTGACCTCAAGAGATCATCTAGTCTGGTCCCCTGCACTAATGGGAGAACTAAGTATTATCTATTCTAGAATGTGAGATCAGCAATTTTGACATCAAATTTTTAAACATGAGTTCTGAGTACACCAGCCTCTCCCCCCGATGAGTTGCATTGGTTTGTTTTATGCTTTCTCTAAGAAAATCAGCTAGAAACGGCACAGATCTTTAGATAGTTGCCCACTTCCCACTTCTCTACAATGTTATCTGTTCAAAATCACTGTACAAACATTAAACAAACTTAATCTAAAGCCTTTCAGCTTTTGAATGACCAGGAATTGACAAAACAGAGCTATTCCCTGTTGTGCTCTCTACCCCGCCTTCCCTCCCCCCCCAAACAAAAAGACTTCATTGAAAATCAGCATCTTAAAAGAGCCATTATGATCTTTTTCCCCCCTTTAACATGCTCAGAATTTACTCAAAGACGCTGACTAAGATTCTGCTTATATCAGACATTAAAAAAAAAAACCCAGAGGAGACCATAATTTATTCTTGTGGGAAAAGCTGTTCTCCTTGACGTCAATAAAACTACACAGGTGTAACTGTCAACAGGAATTGGAGGTTGTTCAAATTCCCTTCTCAAATCACACTCATTCTTTGCTGACCCAACATTTTCCAATTGGGAAAGTTAGTTTGGGTTGTGGCAGAAAAATGAGGACTTACCTCAGGTTTATTTAGCTTTATTTTCAGTTGGAATGAAATTCAAAAGAAATCAAATGTGAGGTACTTTTGTGAACTGCCAGAAAACCAGAAAATGGATAGAACCTGCCTTTAGCCTATTCAGCCAGTCTTTCTATCAGTCTGTCTTAGCCTGCTAAGAAGTGGATTTAAAATCCTTGAGGGAGAAGGGAGGAAGAACATCATTCTGTGTTGAGCTTCCTCCGGTACTTTTGCAACCCCTTAAAAAGACGTGTTAGCCTGTGGAACTAGGCGAAGCATAAGGAAAGCTCTAGGTTGCCTCTGTGCATCCCATGACAAAAAAATACAAAGAAAAAAATTGGATGTCTTGGATTTTTAGTACAATGCAGCATTGAACACAGTGCATCATACATGTGAAGCTCCTTGATGGAAGATACTGTACTTTTAAATGTTTCGTTATTCCTGCAAATGTATGGAAATTCCTTCCTTATATATAGGTCTGCCTGGAGTTGGAGCACATCTGCAGGTTCTGTGCCAGCTTCCTACCCTACTGCTCTGGTACTGTGTCTTCCCCTTACCACCCCTTTGCCCTGACCTGCCCCTCCACAGGAACTCAGCAATTGCCCAAAAATGGGAACCAGCGCACAGATGATGGTGGTGATGGGCACTCAGACTCAGGAGGCAGCATTCAGAGCTGCCTGCCAGCCTCAGCAGAGGAGAAGGACAAAGGGAGCCTCTTTCCATTCTGTCAGCTAAGCAGAGCTCTGGAGAAATCAGGGTGGGGGTTCTGGGGAGGGGTCCATGCCCATTCAGTTTTCACCCACAGCTGGCACAGGTTCTTGGGGTAACCGGCTTTTTAGTG